TAATTGTAATTGCTCAAAGAAAAACTACAAGTAGGAATATATTGAGGTGCTTGGTGTCACGATGGTACTTCTTCATCTTGAGGATTATGGAAAGTAGTAGTCCCAGATTGGCTAATTAAGAGGAAAATCATGAGTTTATAAGTAAGGAACACTATTTCTATTAGTATGAGGCCTTTTGGGGAAACCAAAAGCAAAAGCATGAGAGCTTATGCTCAAAGTGAACATTATCATACCATTGTGGAGGTCTGTGATTCTTAACACTTCAACCGTGCGCCCACGACAAATCTTAAGGGGGAACTCGAGCTCCATTCACATTTTTTCGCCTGGCTTTGTGGCTTTGTCGGACCTTAGGCGAGGTTTGCCTTCGCCAACTAAACATAACCTACTAGGAATTCAAGGTTGTTCGGCCACACACGCCGCTCATGCGTGCATGTTCAATTGTTTGCAACTCTAGTCAACTTGCCTCTACACTGAGCCAAGTCATCCGGCTCGACCTTGCCTCTACTCTAAGCCAGGATCTCTCGTAAGCAAAGTCGCATCTCATCGTCATCTCGACTCCCAACAACATGATCATGCATCGTGATATCCTTCCATGCCTTAGGGAAGCTCGTCCATCTTGACTTGCTCGGACACATCTGTTGGGAATTGACCTAGATCATCTCATTGGAACATCTCGAACATCCATCCATCTAGGTTCTCATCAGGCATTGGACTCTCCCGTGTCCATGCTAAACCATTTACAGCATCCATTCTAGATAGCGGGTGCATAATCCAACCTCCAACACATGGGCTGGAGCGCAATACTGGCACTCCCATGCTGTCCAATACTGTACTCGAAAAAACCCATTTCAAAGAAAGATGCCTAAGACACTCGTCTCGCAACATTTGACCTCACTTTGACACACGCATGTGCCATAGGGTAGCTCACTTATGCCACAGGGTCCAGAGGTGGTGGAGAGCTAACACCACTCCTCCCCCTATAGTACATTTTGAGGCATTTCCAACCTTTCTCGAGTAGATGTCATTTTGGCGAGTGGTCATACGGCCCTGTGTATTGTCTGTCGAGTATCCGATTGACACCAAATTTGGTGAGTTTTCATCTTTCATATAAACTAAATTAACTCCAAAACTACATGTCGAAACTCATATTGAAACCCCAACTTCTGAGGTTATCTCCCGGGGCCCTACCCGACCCTTTTCAAGCTTGTCTTCGACACTCATATCGTCTGTGCATCATGGCACTTCTCAATCTTGACCCTCAAGTGGTCGGATGGGCGCCACTTGAGGGTCGCCCCTTGACTGTCTTGCGTGTGGGGATCACAACCTATTTTCTCTCAGTGAGGTTATGACACTTGGCAATATTGCAGCTTAAAGGATACCTTGTTCTTTGTATTCATAAGTTGGATGGTAAGGAGGAGGTAATTCGCCTTTCTCCTGTGCAAAAAGGCTAAGGAAAGAAATACGTGACTCACTCATAAGGATGAGAACTTATTTTTCATCGTTGGATCCATGATTGAATGATGGTGATGGTAACAAGGTGGTCAAGTCATTCTTTGCAAGAAATCTATTTTAGATCAAATGTAAACTTGAGTGACTTAACGAAGGAGGATGAAGTTTCAACCTTTTGTCTTTGAGTCCGCAGCAGAAGGAAGACTCTATCATTTCCTTAGTAATCTGCTCTAAATGACTAAAGCCTAGTCAATCATTTGGAGTTGGAAAGGAAGTTCACCAACTAGAACCAAAAGCTTAGATCATGTGGGGCATTCTTCAAAATATTGAGCAACTATGCTAACTTCTGGGGCTTCTTTCTTTATAAATTTCACCTTCTCAATAGAATATTTTGATTGATGAAAGAAAGAAGGAAAAGTATTCCCCTGTTTCAACTCTAACAAACCAAGAAACATCGCGAAAAAAATAAAAGGTACTAAGTTAAAAAAACCCTTGGTACGCCCGACGCAGGATATCAGAAATTGCACATGTTTCCTATCCTTCCAAATGTTCTATGCCCACATAATCCATATATTTAAACTTCCTAGACAAGAGAGTTCAGAGGTTTTCAAATGCTATAACGAAGGTCATAACTTGAATTCAATTTCTAATATCGATCTCATGAGACCCGCCCACTAGGGCTAGGGAAAAGGTCATTCATGAGTCCTCGCCCACTAGGGCTAGGGAAAAGATCATTCATGAGTCCTTTCTTTACTGCGTAGACCTCTCTTAGGATATGCCGATCACTACTGGGTCGGTTGGTGAGTCACCCACCATCCATTTGCTTGGACAAGCCCCTGACTTCAAATTCTTAAATTAAGTGATCTCTAATACATATCGGTTAACATAGCGTTCAGACTCATGTGTCTTCCAGAACCAGGGGTCTTCACCAAGTACTTTATTATCAAAATCAAAATTGTCGCTCAAGTCCAATATAGATATACGACGAATATTCGTCCACTTACTATACGTTCTGACTTCTTTCAATTATGTTATTGAACTAGTGGAGGGCCCCTTCCGGGAAAGGTTCCTTAAGCTCTGTCCCACCCCCTTTCCATTCTTCCTTCCCCTCTCATTCCCACTTTTGGGCAAATTGTTTTGAATAGCGTAGTTTTCTTAGCTCCAGTGGGAGCTTGTGGTCACTCGTTCCTTGCTTGTTCCAATCTTACTAAAACAAAATTTTCAACTTCGGGTTGCTTTTAGATTTAAATATTATCAGGTTATGCTGGCAGACATTTCCAAATAAAAGAATCCCAGCTGTTGGAGACTGAACACTAAAAATTACAACCAAATCAATTTTTCCTGTTGTCCCATCACCAAATGTAACTAGCAAACACAATTAATGGGAGCATTCTCATCCTTCCTTAAATGAGCCATTGTTTGGGGGTTCCAGCACTGATAGAATTAGATATCTTAATCTTTTCCGTGCAGCAATCTATCTAAGAATCTCAAGACAACACAATAGTGCAAAAATGGTGATGGTGGAGAACCAAAATCTAAACTAATGAAGCTTCAAATGAAAAGACCCTAATATAACTATAATAACATTGATGATGGAAACATACCACATGCAAAAGAAGGGCAAATTGTTTCTTGCGAAGCTCCAGCATCCTAGAACTTGCTGTGTTCTCCGCATCAAGTGCCGCAATCTCTTTCTCTAACTCCATAATACTCTTTTGTGTCACAGACCTGGGCGGCTGTGCTGCTATAAGCTTCCTAATTGCCTCACACTCCTCCTTGTGTTTCCTCTCAATTTTGCTTTCTTCAAGCTGCTTCTTAAGATCTTCAATATCACCCTGAGATAACAAAATTTGCCTGTTTATCTCATCCTTAAACTCATGGAAGCTCTCTTTTTCCCTAATGTTCGCATCGACAACTGCTTTACTCTTGAGCAAAGGAATTTCAAATGTGGACAGCTCTTGTAAGAAAGCTCTGGATAGCTTCTCGCAGTCATCGTAGCTATTCCCATCCTTTTCAATCTCAAGAACAAAGGAAGTGAACTTCTTCTGGAGCTTCTTCAATGGAGGTTCCCCCCTGGTGGTCGTTGTCCGGGTGAGAAGCCTGTGTTTTATGATAACATCATCTTCGAGAGGTCCAAAAGCATAATTTGCCGCCATTGATTCCCCTCGAGCAGAGAGTTTTCTCCCTCTCAGCGCCATCACAATCTACTTTTCACACCGATCCTGAAACACAAATAAAGAAGATTGAAAACCTACAAATTCAATGGAAATATGATTATCGGGAAATTGAAATCGAGAACCGACGTTGAGTGTGAAACGGAGTAGCAGTTAGGCAGAAATGATTCTTTCTACAGACAACGGAAGATCATGGAAAGCGAAATTCAACTGTGAACGGAGAAATCGATAGGGGAAATATTGGAACCCTAGACTCACGATGGCACTCCAAGCAACTTGTTGTGAATAACCCTGATGCGAAAAATTTGACAACTCGTTGCATCTCTAAGGAATTTGACAACTCGTATCATGTGCTAATACTTTGCACATCAACTTCGTGCTCAACGCACATTTCAATTTTGTCATGCAAAGGTATACGTTGTATTAGGCTTCATTGTGAGATCGTGTTTTAACGTGTCTGTCTTTATCAAGTTGTCAATTCGATTCACCTTTTTGGCCTTGCGTCTTTCACTATCATGATTCATGTCACCTCGTTTACAGATTGATGTTGGTTAGTGAGCTTCTCTTATGATCTCTATTTTGATTTAGTTTTGGTCTTTCGTTTAAGTTGATTTCATCGTTTCTCTTTGTTTTCAGTTCTATCGTTGTAACGTCACTATTGTGTACCACCATTGTCTATCACGTTGTTGTCTATATAAGAGTTCCTCGAAGGTGTAGTCACTTCTTCGGTACCTTCTTAATCCAGTTTTTTCATTATGTGATCACTTTCTCCCTTTCTCCTCTTAAGAACAAAAGTAGGTTTATCGTTTCAAAGCATGCCCAAACAAAAACATAAAAAAATTTGCACCCAAGTAGTCAATTTCTACGAAGGAACCATTGAAAACAACTCGTATCAATACGCTCACTTTTTCCATAAAAAAACTCTCGACAAATATGACCCCAAACTTAAGTTTACATAAAAAAATTAACAAACTTTCCAAATAAAAATCTCATCACTAGATGCAAAAAGTGCAGACGAATATTCTTTTTTATCAAGAGGAACCAAACGATATGTTATCCTCAAAATTATGACTCAAAATTCTACGTCTCTCTTCTGTGTATTAAACCCAAACGACATCTTGAACTACAATCGTACAACTACGTTATGACCATTCCCATGGGTCCATTTGATTATTCATTTGTTCTTCTTGTTATAACATATATATACTTCGATTGAGGGAGGAACAGGGAAGTTTTATAATTAAAGACATTTTTAACTGTATTTTCAAAGGTAAAGGTTTAGTGCAAAAGTTTAGAGGCATGTTCAATCTTCAAAGGATTCAACAAGGAATTCTTTCAATGATGAACTCAGCAGATTGTCACAGAAGGCTTCAAGAATTAAGAATACAAAACCCTCACTTTCGTTAAAACACCGCCAAAGCTCATTACATCGAGGATCGAATATCATCAATCATATCATCATATTATCATATACGGTTTAAACATCAGAATCGAGTCAAACACATTCATATCCACTGCTCTCAACTGCCACATTCCCCTTGCTCGGCGCCATGGATATAAGGCTATGAGATTCTTTACATTTCGGCCATTTCGACACCTTCCTTTTTTCATTCTTCCTCAGCCTTGAACTTACACATTTGATACCATCCCTTATATAACTCACCATGAAACTGACTATCTCTCTGCACGTACACGAAAATACCGATTAAAAAATAACAAACCTAAGCTTGAAGGTTCAGAAGATCTCTATCCTATGCAGACTTGTATACATTTTTCAGAGATTTCAGATACTGAAACATTAGAATGATAATAAAACAAGAGATTCCAGGTCTTTCTAGCACCCCCTCTCTTAAATCTCTTCTTTATTGTTCAGTTTCTAATGTAATTGATTTTCTTTCACCTGATTCTGTCCCTTTCGTCATTTTTTCCCCCCTTCTATCTTTTCTCTACACTCCAACATGTTCTTCATCCAGTTATTCCCTCCTTTCCAACTACCCAAAAGTGAGACCTATACTCGCCAACCACCAAAAGTTTCCATGCTTACATGAACTTCAGATTTGTCAGTCTGGTAATCAGTTTGAATAAGATTATTTCCAAAATTTAGGAAACAGGTCGAGATAAGTTGTTTCCTCTACGGTTAGCATGTTTCAGGTCTTTTTTAAAAGTCAACAGATTGTTGTTGAGGTCTGTAACAGCCCAAGCCCAAGCCCATCGCTAGTAGATATTGTCCTCTTTGGACTTTCTCTTTTGGTAGCGATATTGTCCTCTTTGGACTTTCTCTTTTGGTCTTTCTCTCAAGGTTTTAAAACGTGTCTGCTAGGGAAAAGTTTCCACACCCTTATAAGGAATGCTTCGTTCCCCTCTCCAACCGATGTGGGATCTCACAAGGTCTTGGTTGCTATAAGAGGCAAAGAGAACTATAGGTCCCACATTAAGTAGGATGCCATATTCGCGACCATGTAAAAGAACAAGTAATAAAAGCCTTGTGAATTTAAAGGTAGTTGATATTGATACTTACAACAGAGAGCATGGAGATCGACCGCCATTCACATAGTAGACGAACAGGTATGAATCATAACGCCGGCCATTGATAAAGTAAAAGCTCGGCAGTCTTTGTAGGCACTTGAATGACATTTTGGTGTAGAAATTGATAGCAGTACTATTGTATGAAATTACGTGCAAATAAACTGCTCGGCAGGTTGGCATGCCTGAGGCATATTTAACTACCTTTCGAACAAGTGAACTAGCTGCAATTCAACACACCAAATTCCTGATGATTAGTAGACATGAAATTAGTGTAAAAAAAAAAAAAAAATCAGATATACGCTATAACAAGCTTGTACCTATTCCAAGGTTTCTGTAGGCTTCCACTACCCCCAGTGTAAGAATGTATACTAGAGTTTGATCCGTGCTTGATGAATTATGCTGAAGTAAATCACATATCTACAAGGCATTTAAGAGGTATAAATTATAGATATCCAGTTTTGAGCAACCAAGACAAGTGATTTCAGCTGTCAAAGTAGCTAAAAAAACATTGTTAAGAGATTAGTGTTAAGCCAATTCTACAACTACTTAATGCTGGCTTGAAAGTACTTACAACTACTTAATGGTAACCCTGGCACAACTGTTAACAAGAATTATTCTCCAAGTACACCTGAAGCTAATCATCACATGGCAATTTCTGCATTTCGAAACACTTCATCTGTGTTTAATCATATCAATGGCAGCTAATTACAGTTGAACTCAGGAAGCTATAGCATCCACCCCTTGATTTTGAGGCCACTAATTTAATCAACCACTTTAATTTCTCAACATTCTTTAAAACAGTCCATGAACTCTATTACTCTTCCCAGAAAAGGATGAAAGACCAGACTGCAAACGAATATGTTCGTTCACTTACAACCAATACGTTCTCGAAGTTGTGGAACCTCTCAAAGACAACCAACCATGTGTTCGTACCAATGAATTTAAAGTCCTAATCACTTGCACTTAAGTACAATGTTTCATATGTTTAAAGAACTAAGAAGGCCACTATAGAAATTGACACAAGGTAACACTATAATTTGAAGATCTCCTTCAGTTGGTTCTTCAACCATGAAGACAGTAGACGAACTATCAAGACATTAGATCCAAGGAATTGGAAATCTAAGAAAATAAATGAAGCTTTTTCTTTAAACAAGATAAAGATTTACCATCATGAAAACATTATTTTCCAACAAGCATGATGGATTAAAATAACTGTACAATCAAACCTGTAGAGTCAAGATGTTTAGATGAAAATCAGTACAAAAACTATGAACTAAGAGAAATCCTGTTCTAATCTAGAAACCTAAGGAAAACAGTTGATGTATAAAGGTTGAGTCACAGATTAGAAATATACAAAACATAAGCATAACCCACCTCACTGTCTTTTGCTAGAACAATTCGTGCAGTCACAAATCCAATAAGCTCATCACTTCTGCCATCTGGTCTATTACGATCCACCGCCGCCCAGGACACAATTTCACGTCCATTTACAACATTATGGAAAAACTCCGACTCATACCTAAGAAATTCGTACTCATAAGCCGATTTTACAAGCACATCACGAAATCAAAATGAACATCACGCTCAATCGGATTCACATACCTGATGGGAAACAAATTACCATGGATTTGCTCCAAAACTTCACGGTCTGAGGGTTTGATTGGTCGATAACATATACTTGGACAATCAATGGCTTTAGGTTTTAACATTGCAGAAGATTTCAATCCCCAGCAAAGAATCTAAAAGCTCGCAAAAGCTGACCTACAAATTCACTTTCCATTTATAAACATCAGCCTCAAACGGTATGCAATTATTCCTGTGCAAATCGAAAAAACAAGCATGATCGTCAAGAATTCCCTCGCGCTTTCATCGGAATCAATGAAAAGTAACTTACCGGAGAGAAATTGATGAAGCTCTCAGTCGCGAAGAGAGACGGCTTCAACATTGTGGTCAATTGGATGACTTTCAACGCGCCCATTTCATCTTGTTCAACCGATAATGAGAAGATAGATTAGTTTGTCGGAGGATTTATTTCAAATATTTGATAATTTTCTTTTTTTTAATCAAAATTTCATATAAATTAAATTAATAAAATAAAGAAAAAAAAACTGCTATATTTGCAATTTGTCTAAAAATATTATAATAATTCAAATTAAGAATATATATATATATCTATATTAATTTTAAAAAAAAATTAAAAATACTAAAAAATATAAAAGTGTTTTAAAATATTCTTTAATCTTTTTAAATATCTTTAAAATTTTTAAAAAATTTAAAAATACTTACATTTCAAAAATAGAAAATTAATATAACTTAAAAAAAAAACAAGTTGAGTTTTAGGTTACTAATTATTGAGTTAAATTTTAGGTTACTAATTATTTTAATTTTTTTTTTAATTTAAGAGTATTAATGAAAATTAATTTATCATTTTTTAAACACTTTTAAAAATTTAATTGTATTTTTTAAACAAAATATAATAACTAATTGTTTTTTTTTAAAAAAAAATTATTTAGAGGTATTTTTTACCCAAATAAATTTTAAAAGTATTTTTATTAATTTAACCCGTTTGATTTTAGCTCAATTTTATTATATTAATTCATGGTAGATAATTTATTATTAGTTTATTTTAAATAACATGTCTTAAATTTTAATTTTCTTTTAGTTTATATATCAAACCACCGTAATAATTATCTTCAAATAAACAAATTTAATAAAATTATATAAATTTTTAATGTTAAATAATTTAGTACAATAATAAAATAAAATGATTAATTATATCTATTATATTTCAAACACTTTTAATAGTAAATAATTGAATATTGCTTTTGTGCTATCTAGTTTCAATAATAACGATCTTGCTTTCATTTTTTAAGGTACTCGGAGTTTGGAAAAATGCATTAAAAAATTTATTATTTAAGTTAATTTGTTTTAATTAATTCAAATTATTAAAACAATAGATTTTAATTCAAAAGGCCATTTTAATAATAATAAGTAATTATTAAGAGTACACAATCTTTTTATTATAATTGATTTGTACATATTTTTTAAAAAAATTATTTTTTTGTAGCATCTTAATTATCTTCCAATTTTTTAAAAGAAAAACAAGTTTTATTTATTTATTTTTTATTTTTTTACAAATTTTGGATTTTGAACGTTCTATAACATTAATTCGGTTGAGAGTTTTAAACAAAATTCAGAGTAACGGATTGGATTAGAAAAATCAACCAAATTTCAAAAAGAAATAATATATACATATACGTACGTACGTGTATATATATATATATATATATATATATATATATTTTTTTTTTTTTTTTGAAGTCCTGTAATAGGCATAAATACTTATCACAATATTATTTTATTAAAAGGATAAGAAATTACTTGTTTTAAATATATATATTTTTTAATTTGCTATTTGAAATTCGAAAATTCTATTTCTCAGGAATAAATTAAAAAAATTTTAGTTTTTTCATCAAATGTCGTTGTAGTATAGTGGTGAGTGTTCCCGCCTGTCACGCGGGTGACCCGGGTTCGATCCCCGGCAACGGCGCTTTTTTATATATTTTTTCATTTTTAATTTGCTATTTGAAATTCCAAAATTCTATTTCTCAGGAACTAAAGCTTTCAAATTATTTATTATTTTTTTTATCAAATGTCGTTGTAGTATAGTGGTAAGTATTCCCGCCTGTCACGCGGGTGACCCGGGTTCGATCCCCGGCAACGGCGTCTTGTTTTGTTTTTTTTTCCCTTTTTAATTTGCTATTTAAAATTCGGTTGGTTTTTTCTGGGACCGGGTTTTATGAATTTGGTCTCTATGGCCGAAGCTCTCAACCGGTTTTTTATTTTCTTTTTTATTTTCTTTTTAATTTTTATAAAATAAAAATTATGCTCGTATTTAAATTCTTACAAGGTTTCCAAAATAAAATAAATTTTAAAATAACCCTATTTGACAATAATTAATTTTTAAAAAATTAAGCTCATAAATATTAACTATAATTTTAGGTTACTTTGTTTTGTTACCTACTTTTTATGGTATTCAAAATTTAAATCAAAATTTTGAAAATTAAAACATAAACAAAAATTAGTTTTATAAAAGACTAAAAATTCAAATGTTTCAAGGAAAATGTTTGGGGGTTGGCTTAATAATATTCGATGATAGAGATTCCATCTTGTGGCCCCTTAATGATCCCCTTAATTGAGAATATAATGTTCTTATTAATTGAATGATATATTGTTTTCGTTAATAAGTAAATGGTAAAGTTATCGACCACACATGGACCATGAAAGAAAAATATTGTAAAATAGCATAAAAAATAATAAATGGAGGAAAATAGAGAAAAAAAAAAGATGGAGAAGAGTATAACTACACATTTTTCGAATTTGGATTGAGTTGAATTGTGGGAACTTTGGAAAACCAAAAATTCGAGTTAGTCAACTGGGTCGACATTTTTTTTGTTGGGTCAACCCGACCAACTCAAAAATATAGTACAACCTAACCCTACCCTACACTATTTTTAAGATTGTAATGATGATTAATCAATACAGCGATGTCTTGTGACTTATAAATATTTGATATTTAAATTTTATGAGATTTTAATTATCGATAAAAAGAACAATCCAATAACTTAACCCAACAAATACAGAGTTAAATTGTAAAGTCTATTCAAATGGCACGGACCACCAACCTATTAATTCGAAATTAATTCTAGAGTTAGAATGAATAATAATCTATTATTTTATAGAAACTAGTTTCAAGTGGGATCATAATAATAAATCAATAAAATGATTAATAATATTAATCATTTGAAAAAAATAATAATAATGATTTAAAGAAATATAAAAATAAATTCAAATATTTTAAAAAGAAGTGGCATATAAATTTCAAAGAATTGAAAGTAAACAAACTTAGAACAATTGAAGCCTGCTACACATTGTAATTAAATATCTCACATATTTGTACATTTTTAGCCAATTTTGAAGGGAAAAGAATATAGAGCTAAAATAAGAGATTATTTATTTAAAGAGCATATTATTTTATATAATTGCCTATATTATTTATGAATAATTTACGATAATCGAAAGAGTAATGAAATGATAAAACCCTCAAATTGAAGTTTCATAAAACTAAATCCATGACAGTTCAAAACTTACTAAATCTTCTTCATCTTCTCCTTCATTGGCCTTCCATTACTGCAGAGTCTCTTAATGCTTCAGTTCATTTACCTATTGAAACAGATGTATAAAAAAAAACAAGAGAAAGATCACAATTTCAGAACAATTCAAGTGATTATGGTATTAAGAAACAATAAGAGTGTGGAAACCTCTCCCTAGGAAATGCATTTTAAAAATCTTGAGGGGAAGCTCGAAAGAAAAAGTCCAAATAGGACAATATTTGCTAGCGGTGGGTCTAGGCTATTACAAATGATATCAGAGCCAGACACCGGGTGACGTGCTAGCGAGGAGGTTGAGCCCTAAAGGAGGGTGGACACGAGGCAGTGTGCCAGCAAAGATGCTGGGCTCTGAAGGGGGAGTGGATTAGGGGTCTCACATTGGGTTGAGGAGGAGAACAAACATTCTTTATAAGAGTATGAAAATCTTTCCCTAGCAGACAAGTTTTAAAAACCTTGAAGGAAAGCTCAGGAGGGAAAGTCCAAAGAGGACAGTATCTGCTAAGGGTGGGCTTAGACCGTTACAGAAAATTTTGAAATTTGAGCGTTTAACTCACCATCGTAAGCGAGAGCACTTCTAAAATTCAAGACCCAAGCGTAAGAACCTTGTTTACACAATGGCTAAGCTAGCCAAATGACTTTCAAAAATTCCAATACGAGACAAAGCTGATATCTAAAATAGTAAAAGTTTAGAACTGAAAGGGCTACTTCTGCTATCAGGTCTCACATGATTTCACTAGAACTTATTAAGGCAATAGCAAGTTACTCACCGTAGTTTTGCCGCACCATGGTAAACTTGTAAATGGCTTTTACCAGGGAACCATACTTCTTGGACTTTAATGGTCCCATGTGTCTGCAACAAAATATAAATCAAAGATCATATAATCTCTTCAACCCCAAAAATGATTACAAAAATGTGTGGATTTTTTTTTTTTTTTTTTTTTTTGGTGAAGTTGGAATAAGCATATTAATACATATTTGTGTTGTTTTAGATGCATAAATTAATTATTTCAGAAGTGAAGATTCCACACAGCATCATAATAAGCTTACTAGACCACTAAAGGAAAAATCAAAGTTTATCTTCTGTAAGTATATCACTCGTACAATAACAAAAAATGTTCAATATAACAAACAACATTACTCTTTTGGAAGAAAGTATTTATTCTACTACTGGAGGAATGAGAAGAACCAAAGCACAGAATGATCATACAGTGGATGGGTCGTATTCTACTCCTAGCATAGGACGTGTTGGAGTAATAAGGAAAAAACTCATTTGCAGAGGGATTTGAGAAGTAGCTACCAGAAGTCCCAAATAGACAGACAGACCAGGTTCATCCTTTGATGTCTATTGAGGTCAGTAAGAGTAACGGTGGTGTTGAAGCTGACTCATTCATGTTAGTTGTTCATATATTGAAAAAGCTTTTGAATATAAGTTTCCATTCTTATATTAAAGTGCTAAGGTTTATATCCTCTCCAAGGTAGCATTGTTGGCAGGCGAGCCCTATCTTGTTTATCCAGCTAGCTTTTCTCAGTAGTACCCAAATTTGATTTGTAAGAGCTTGGAGATTTCAAAACAAAAACAAACGGACCTTAAGTATTCTCAATAAAAATGCCTATCTATAAAGCGAATCACGGATAAGATATTTGGGAGGAGGTCCTGAATTAAAAAGTCTCACAAGAAAGAAATTGGTCTCTTTTGAGGAGAAGCAAGAAAGAAATTGGTCTCTTTTGAGGAGAAGCAGGTGGAAAAGTAGTCATCGTTAAATTTTCTCAAAGTTCAAACCTCGTCTGCAGAGGTTGGCAGAAAAAGGCCAAAAACACCAGGAAAAAGAGAAAAAGAAAAGGAAAGAAGAAGAAGAGAAGTAGACAAATAGATCAAGCTCAAGAAGTCAGAGGGAACTGAAAATTTATGTTATAGGATGAATTGTGATAAATTCCCATACATGTGAACATTAACATGCAAGCTAAGGGCTTTAGCGAAAATGGGTGGAGTTGAGAGCTTTTTGAGGGACTTGCAACCTAACATTCTATTGCTGCAGGAGTTCAAAGCTGAGAGGCATTTCTTAAATCCACTTGGCCTTTTAAGCATACATGGTTAGTCATTGTTGAAATCTTATGAAGCATGATGGCCATTCTAATTAAATTCCATTGTGGACACTTCCTAGTGAAGAGCACAAAGAAGTTGGGGTTGCATCAGTCCCTACCCTTCGTTACAAGCTGTTGATAGAAAGAAAGGAGATTTCTCTTCTTGTAAGATCCCACATTGGTTGGAGATGAGAACGAAGTATTCCTTGTAAAGGTGTGGAAACCTCTCCCTAGTAAACGCGTTTTAAAACCGTGTGACTGATGGCTATACGTAACGGCCTAAAGTGGACAATATCTGCTAGCGGTAGGCTTGAGTTGTTACACGTTTAAAGCAAGGATATAGAGGATGCTTGGGTGTTTGTACACTTGGAGCATCCATACAAATAAAAAATGTGATTAATTATCGAAAAAAATATAATAAACAAAAAGACTCACATAATCTCTGTGTAGCGGATTCTCCAAGCAGGAAACCCTAAGTGACATCTTGAAGGTCCGTATACTAAAATGAGGTCAGGATCAGGCCCTCCACATCCTAATGACAGAGTACCCGGAAGGTTAATTTACATTTAAGTAAATAATACTCTGAAACTTTCCAAGTATAAGCAAGAATACAAACCAACTGCTTTTAGAGCCTCAGTCATCTGAGATTCAGAAAAGCACTGATTGGAATCTCCACTCATGTTGGTTTTTCTCCACTTGTCTTTGAGAAGAAAACTAGCTGCTCTCGCCACGGCTTCCTTTCCATCCGACGCTGAAATGAACTCCAGAGTAAAGCCCTTACAGTTTAGTTGGAGAGGTTCATCGGTCTCCTGAATGCAACGACCAAGTTAGACGAATAATGCATCTTATTATTGACATTCAACTCCTAAGGGCTTTCCCTTCTGGGCTTCCCCTCAAGGTCCAACATCGGTTGGGGAGGAGAATGGAACATTCTTTATAAGAGTGTGGAAATCTCCCCCTAACAGACGCGTTTTAAAAACTTTAAGGGGAAGCTCGAAAGGGAAAGTCCGAAGAGGTCAATATCTGCTAGCAGTGGGCTTAGGCTGTTGCATCATCACTTACTGAACCTGCAGGTTTAAATCAATCTTTATTATAGTTGCATGTACCTGAAATAACGATGCATTCTTTACTTTCTTCAAAATGATTTCCTTGGATTGTTTAAGCACCCCTTGAGCATAAATACATTCAAATAAGCATATAATTCATTGGAAAGACATTCATAAGAATTTGGCAACAGTAAAAGGGAGCTCAGAATTCTAGGATGGACCCAAAATCATTACCTTCAGCATCATACAAACAAACACTTCTAATGCCCATGGATTCTAACCATTGCAGAAGTTCAATAATTTTTAAGGTATTATAAGCTTCATCACTTTCAACAACAATGGCAAGATATTGGACCCTGTCGATATCCAGATGATTGTACTTGCGTAGGAATCCACAAGAGATCAAATAGCTTTCGAGTGTCGTGGCAATACTAACCAAAAAGTAGAATGAACTAACAATAAAGTGTAGGAAAATCCATATTAGCTGAAGCCCAAGAATTCCAATCTGTACACGCCTTGAAAAGAATATAAATAAGAATCTGATTCATATACAAAGAAACACAACATAAAAATCAACTTGCTATAATACAAGTCTGAAATGATTCTGAATAAAGTAAATTTGAAGTCCATAAAAATTCAAATAAGGTGGTCTACTGTTTTACCCGCTCCAGGCCCTTCGAATAGTCATATTTTTCCTCCAAGTCGATATGGTGCTAAAAGATCTATTACTTTAATTTTTTATTTCAAAAATTGATAATTTTGTATCTAACTATATAAAAGCAGGGGTGGATCTATGAATAAAAGATGTTGTGCGAGTATCTACAAAACCCAAATTATCAATAGGCTCTCCAAGCATGTTGAAAATTCGGCCGAGAGTCGTTCCGCTGGCTAGAACACTTAGAGGAGTTCTCGTGTTAACCACTTCCAATCCTCTCATTAGACCATCAATAGCACTCGCTCTAACCCGATTATTTCCTAATAACTGTTATACTTCACAAGTCTCATTAATTTCTTGACTGGCAGTGTCTTGACCATTAACTATCAAAGCGTTGTAAATATTAGGAGTCAATGCAATCTTTGAGATATTGTTTAAAGGCCCCAAAAATTCCCCAGGATCCTAGCAAGAATTCTGCTTATACTCTGATAGAATCTTAAACCTAAATGATAAAGACAGTTGAACAATGCCAAGCAATTCCTAGAGCAGTCCAACACTATACCTTCTGAAGCTCAACCTTGATGGTCATCGGTCTGCAGAAAGAAAAACACAAAGATAATGATGAGAAATCTAGACCATCAAAACTCAAAAAATGATTTCTAGAAGAAAATGTTCAGAAAATTAAAAGATAATTTTAAAGGGAAAAATAAATCCAAAACAAGCAAAACAGATGATTTTTTTGAACAATCCAGCCATAGTTTTCAGTTTTCATTTAGCGATAGATTTTGCTTTATTCCACAACTGGAAGTATCACAAGGATCAAACAAGATTCTCGAATAAGATATTAACAAAAACACTCCAGGATCTCAGTAATGGCGTTTGCCACTCATCTTTTCGTTCACATTTGAACTAAAATTTGTAATGGTAATATCTCAGAAAAGATGAAGAACAGCATTAACAATCATCTGCATAGGCTTAATAATCAGTTACCGATGATTTCCCCATCATTCTAGCATCAACAAACATACAGTAAAGAGAAAGATAAATCCACAACAAAATTCTAAACCAGACAAGAATGAACGAAAGAAAGAAAGAAAGTTTGTTGATCATAAAGAAATGGAAGTGTAAAGAAAGAAGAATTACCCGAGGAGAGAAAGCGATGAAGTGAGCTGCGAAACTGAAGAAATGGGATTTGATTGGTGAGATTGTGGAAGTAATTGAAAGAGATTTCAGTTAAGAAATGAGGTTTGAACTCGTAGTAGTAGCAATCGTACGAACTTGCTACTCATCCACTACTAAATTTTGAAATTAGTTTCAAGAAAAAGTAGGTTAGGTCGAGAATTTATAAATGCCGCCCACCCTACATCAGTCCAGTTTTCTCGGTTTATAAATAAATGCTGCCCACCCTACATCGGTCCAGTTTTCTCGATTTGGCCCGGAATCGAAGTTTTTTTAGAATCTAATGATGTCAATTACTCGGTTTGGTCTGGAATCGAAGTTTTTTTTTAAGGATAGAATCTAATAATGTCAATTACGTCAGTCCAATTTTCTTGATTTTGTCCGAAATCAAAAAAAAATTTAGGGATAGAATCTAATGATGTTAAGTACATCAGTCCAATTATCTCGGTTTGGTCTCGAATCGAAGTTTTTTTTAAGGATAGAATCTAATGATATCAATTACATCGGTCCAGTTTTCTCGGTTTGGTCTGGAATCGAAGTTTTTTTTAAGGATAGAATCTAATGATGTCAATTACATCCGTCCAATTTTCTCAGTCTTGTCCGAAATCAAAGTTTTTTTAGGGATAGAATCTAATGATGTTAATTACAACCGTCCAATTTTCTCGGTTTGGTCTGAAATCGAAGTTTTTTTTTCAAGGATAGAATCTAATGATATCAATTACATCGGTCCAGTTTTCTCGGTTTGGTTTGGAATGTAAGTTTTTTTAAGGATAAAATCTAATGATATCAATTACATTGGTTCAATTTTCTCGGTTTGGTCCGAAATCGAAGTTTTTTTTTTTTTTTTTGTAAGGATAGAATCTAATGATGTCAATTACATCGGTCCAGTTTTTCGGTTTCAATGTACTGTTGGTAGAAGAAACTCGATCGGCTACTAGAAACGAGCAAGAGCAAGGGATGCACTCGACGAGAGACGGTCCAATGCATTAGGCTCATCTTGTGGAGGGAAAAGTCAAAATTGAGTTGTAGTCTTGTTGTTCGCCGCCTCGACGCATTCTCTTCTCTCCCCGGCATCGTCCACACAGAAAGAAAGAGCGCAGAGCTTCGACCCTCTTTTTATTTTATTGGAAAATTTAGTTATAATCTCTTTTTATTCAAATTTTATATAAAATTATATGGGCGAAAATTTAATATCCAGTAACGCTACCCATTTAACTATATAATGAAAACTTCTTAAAAAAAATAAAAAGAAAAAAAGGACTGAGTCAGTTTCTTTCTTTTGCCATCTGTATTATTTGCGAACCTAAACAACCGCCAAGCCACAACGCACCTCTCAAGGTCATTCTTCCTCTCTCTCTCTCTCTCTCTAAGAACTTGGATTTGGAACTTCTCCGGTGGATCAGACGGAGCAGCATGGCGGTTGGTGTTCAATTTTTCCTTATTTTTCTGTTCATTTTGTTCCTAATCTTGTTTGATTTCTCGCGATGTTATTACCTCAAGTTTCATTTTGTTCTGAGGCGTGATTTTTTCTTCTTATTAACTACTTAATATAGGTGAAACAGCATGTTTCATTGTTTTTTCCTCCCGTAATTTTGATGAACAAATGCGTGACTCGTACTCAGGAGATGGAGAATGCGTACTTCCGTTGTAATTATGGCTTAGTATTGGAATTTAATGTTTCGAACAAGATATAAGGAAATTATTGAAAGCACCGAAAACGTCGAAATTCGTCTCTGATTTTCCAGAAACTGACTTGATTTTGGTTGTTTTTTTGTTTAATCGTTACAGTCGCAGGTGAGAACGGTGAGAGTTACCAATGTCTCGTTGAGCGCGTCGGAGAAAGATTTGAGAGACTTTTTTTCTTTTTCCGGTGAAATTGAAATTGTCGAAATGCGAAAGTGAGTGTTATTTACTACTTCTCGAGATTGTATTTTAGTTCGATAGGGATATGGTGATTAGCAGTAGGATTGTTACTTTTTTCTTCTTGATCAACTGTTAGTTCGTATGCGTTTTCATTTACTTCATTTTGTTTTCCTGTAGGGACAATGAACGATCTCAAATTGCATTTGTTACCTTCAAGGATCCGAAAGGAGCCGAGACATCGATTCTACTCTCGGTTGATACAATTCTCCCTTTCTTCATTTCAATTGTCCTTAAACTTAAGATATTCTGAATGATTTCATTCAAATATTTGCTTATTTACTTAAGCTTCCATTAGAAACTGTTTCCGAATGTAGAACCTCTCTTATGTTATGAAAATGGCTCTAAGGTTTGAAAACTACTTAGAACAGAGTTTCATTCTTCAGATAGAAGAGGTTTAACAGAGTTCTCATCCATTTATTCCTGTAACATGGGAGAATGTCTTCAATATGATTGCCATGATGTGTTCAAAATGCATAGTTAACTTGATTTCTATGTCTCATTACCAAGTGATTGTTTCTTGTATCATCTGTTTTCTTACCTGATTAGATTAAACTATCTTGCGTTACTCAGGGAGCTACAATTGTTGATCAGCCTGTTAGCATTGCTTCTGCTCCAGATTACAGTCTTCCTGCTGTACCTGCCAGTGCCCCTCTACCAGTGTCTTCTCCAGTATTTTCTTCGATCTTAATCCTACAGTAATTTTCAATCTTGTCTTTCCAATTTCTGACATGAATGAACAAACATGTTTCACCAGTCTGCAGAGAATGCAGGCTCTGGTACTGCTGGATCTGCAATGAATAAGGCCGAGGATGTTGTGAGCAGCATGCTGGCCAAAGGCTTCACTTTGGGCAAAGATGCCCTCAATAGGGCAAAGTCTTTCGACCAGAAGCACCAATTGACATCAACAGCCTCATCAAAAGTCCTTTCTCTGGACCAAAAGATTGGCCTTAGCGAGAAGATTAGCGTTGGCACGACGGTGGTGAATGAGAAAGTGAAAGAAATGGATGAGAAGTTTCAAGTGTCTGAGAAAACCAAGGCAGCAGTGAACAATGCAGGAACAGCCTTAATGGCTAACCGGTACGTCTCAACCGGGGCTTCCTGGGTTACCCAGACGTTTCAAAGAGTCGCAAAAGCAGCCGTAGAAGTCAGTCACAAAACAAAGGAGAAGGTTTTAGCTGAGGATCAAGCGAAACAAGAGGGAAGATCTTAATTCATCCAAGAGCCCTGATCATACCCCAACATATATATCATATGTATTTGGCCAAAACAATGTGAGGAGTGAGGACCTATTCTTCTTAGCTTGCTATTTTCATCTCGGTTGATTGACATATTTTCAATGCCTTGTTTTAGTTTTTTGTATCAGGGAGTACACAAATAATCTACACGCTTATGTTGTAATTCAACCGTAAGAAAAACATATATGCTATGTGATTAAGTGTCCAGAAATGATCTTTATAAACATTATTTGCATACGTGTCGAAACTTGGACGAACCAAATGGAACTTGGTTTGATTGAATATAAACTCTAAATCCTTAAGACAATGCAATAGAAACAAATTAAATAGAGAATTAGACTGAAATATAGATAGTTCTAAAGCAAGGTAATCCAAGAACTTCCCTACTGTTTCTATTGCATAAGAAATAGGTTAACTTAGACATGGTCATCATTGTCATCATAAGAAATGGTAATAGTATTTAGAATCGCGATAGCTTAGCTCCGCGTAGATCGGTTTCATACCGTGTTGTTGGTCCAAGCATGGATGGATTTTGCAGAGCCTTCTGCTACAGAACTGAAGTCTTCAAGAATTTTGAGGTGGTAACAGTCGAGAATTTAGAAACTACAAGAGTTTCAACCCACCAGTTACATCATCAACCACTTCAACAGGACCTGCAATTTGTGAAGTAAAAAGTGTATTAGTCTATACACTACTGATGTATTCATATCTCATTGGATGATTCACGTTAGTTAATACTAATTCGAGGTGCAACGAAAAACTGACAAAAAAGATCACTTTAACTGACCGAAACCGATGTTGGTTTGGTCTGGAACTGGTTTGGTTTGCATACAAGGAAAACCAATTAAATTCGGTCGGGCTCAATTTTGGCAAGGCGAACGGAGTCCAACCAAACCAGCTAGTTTCTTGGAGTTATTGCAAATGGCTAACTGCCGGATCAAACTGGCTAAACCAATGGTGAACAGTTTGGGCAGTTTGGTTATGTGTCATAGAACGGTTTGGTTCGGCTTGGCTCGGTTTTTCCATTTTTCTTTATATTTCTCGTGGTTCAGTTCCAATTTGACACTCAAATTGAGACGATACGAACCAATATACCCCAATACTAATTCCAGTAGGAATGCACCAATATGAAATTGTTCAGTAGATCCACCAGCTAAACTAACCAAACATGAGTTAGAACAAAAACACAAAAGAGGTAGGGAGTTCACTGGGCTATTATGATAGAATAGAAAACTCCTTGATTAATATATAATGGTTGCATGGAAAAAAAATCACTTACCAAGAATTGCCATCACCGTTCTCGAATCTAGAAGAACAAAAAAGTGAAAATGAGTGAATTTGATAAAGTTGGTATTAAAACGTCGACCCATTTAAGTGAATTTCATGTAACTTACTAGGAGCAATTTGAGTTCTTCCGGCATCAATGGTAATATGAGTTGGTAGCTTCAATGATTTTGCCCTCTCCTGATGTACAATAATATATAAAAGTTTGAAAACTAAAAGAACTGAGATCAACACCTAAAAGTATAAGAATCAGAGGGAACTCAGAAGCCTCAAAGAATAGAAGAAATATAAAAAAGATCAAGCTGTATAGAATTGTCTCAGATATTATGCAAAATTAAGCTTACACCACTATTATAAATACATATGCACAAACTAGAAAAACTAATAAATATCGACCAACTGCAAATGTGATATGCTTTCGACATATACGGATAGCAAAGAATCAGTTAGATACCATAAAATCACAGTGGAATTCTTAGAAAAAGGAAATCATAGTGGAATTGTTACTTGCAAAACTAGCATGTCTTCCTCACTTTCTATTTTCAGAACCACCTTGGGTTGTGCACACATCTCCCATCTGCATGTAAATAAAATCAAATAAATGAGCGGAGAACGAAGTAGACGATGCCATTAATAAAGGGAGGACTATCCTGTACATACATACCTATTCAAAGCTTTCGGTGCACGATAATGGAGCTTCTTGTAGAGACCCAAAGTTGCATGACTAACAAAAGCAAGCAAAGTAGATTAAAAGCTAGTCGAAATTCAATTTACAGCATTAAGAAACTGGGAAGTTCACAGTGCAAAGATTTGAGAAAATTAGATTACCAGTAGTTATTAAATAATGTGAAAACTTGGCCTCTCAAGTAGTAGTAATATAAATGTTTGTGTAGAATTGATGGTTCTTTCAGTAAGTATCCGCCACAAAGTTAGCTGATAATTGCAATTATGTAATAAGGGTTTTTTAAAGACGGCAGAACAAGAAAGTTAAGTCTGGTTTTGGTCCATATTATTACTTTCTTCAAGAAGAAATGCCTACGCATTATTAGAATATGTATTTTGTATGCTTGAAAAGTTTTGAGATGAATCAAACCACTAATCATGAATGATTAGCATGTATTTGAAGTAGCGATTACAAGAAGCAAAGTAAAGAAGATTCAAGAGGCTTACATTTTCAAAGGCTAGCTACTAATGTAGTTGAAACAAAGAATTTTTAGCTCAAAAATCTTTATAATATTAATATATCAAATCAGGAAAAGAATAGAATGACCATAAACATCACTTGACATTGGAAAGTGATTCGAAGACTTTTTGTCTTGGGTAGTTGAACTACCATTTAAAACTATTTATGTCATATCTTATTTTCTTCCATTTTTATTTAAGAGCTCTTATTGATAGTTGGTTGTTTGGAGATGAATTACCATTATGTTTGGATTTCTTCAATTTTTATTTAATAGCTTTTATTGGTAGTTGGTAGATTAACTACCATTATGGTTGGATTATCTTTTTGGTTTATTTAAAGGCATGTAATATTCAAGTTTGAGGATCATGATGAAATACAAAAACCTTGTGTTTTCTTGAAACCCTTTTGGGTGTTGTTTTTCGTTTTTTTTTTTCAAACCTTGCTTTATGTTTGAAGTTAAACTAATTCATCGGATTAGTCTTGATCAACCTAATTCTGGAGTGAGTCTTCTTGGGATCTAAGAGTGACCATCATAGATTCAATCCTGGAGTGAGTCTTCTTGGGATCTAAGAGTGACCATCATAGATTTCAAGTTCGATCTATGAGTTATTCATCCATCTAACGTCTAACCAGCTCTTGGTTGGAATCATTCGTTAAATTAACTTTATTTGTAAAAGTTTGTAAGGATCCTAGAAAGATCGCTAACTTTGCAAATCCAGCAGTTGTTGGCGCTTATCACTTGGTATCAGAGCATTTGGTCAACGTTCTTTGGCCGGCTCAAGAGGTAAAATATCTTTACTTTATGTTATTTTTTTTCTGTCAATTTTTCTGAGTCTCTTGGATTATCAAGGAAATGTCTCAAAGTAATTAGTTCTTGTCATTAATTTGAGTCTTGTTCAAATTTTCGAGCTATTGATCCTAACGATGAGATACTAGTCTTAGCTCGTGAGAGTTAATCATTGAATTGATTATAATCAAGCTTTATACCAAAAAAAAAAAAAAAAAAAACCAAATGATAAGCGCCAACCGATGGATTTGCAAAGCTAGAGGTCCTTGCAAACTTTCACAAATAAAGCTAACTTAATAAATGATTCCAACCAAGAGCTAGTTAGAAGATGAATAACAACTCTTAGATCGAACTTGGAATCTATGATGGTCACTCTTAGTTCCCAAGACGACTCACTCCAGAATTAGCAAGATTAATCCAATGAATCGGTTTAACTTCAAACCCAAAAGTAAGGTTTGAAAAAAATAAAAATAACACCCAAAGGATTTCAATAAAAGACAAAATTTTGTATTTCACCATGATTTTCAAACGTGAATATTACATGTCTTTAAATAAGGCAAAAAGATTTCAAACGTGAATATTACATGTCTTTAAATAAGGCAAAAAAATAATTCAAACATAATGGTAGTTGAACTACCAACTACCCGTTACCAATTAAAGCTATTAAATAAAAATTGAAGAAAATAAGACATGACATAAATAGTCTTAAATGGTAGTTCAAAACAAAGACAAAAAGTCTTCCATAGTCTTAAATGGTAGTTCAAAGACAAAAAAGTCTTCAAATCACTTTCGAAGGTCAAGTGTGATTTCATATACTAATATTATAAAGATTTTTGTTCTCAAAAATCTTTTTCAACTTGTACATTAGCTAACCTTTAGAGATGTAATGTAGAGGCCTCTTGAATCTTCTTTACCCTACTTCTGCTAATCGCTACTTTCGGATAGTGGTTGGATTCATATCATCCCTCCCTCTTTAAAAAGATTTGACGTGTTCATTCCCTTCTTGATAATGCATTTACTACCACATTGTCCTTTCCTTTTTTTTAATGAATTACATCAAGAAATGTAATTTCATAAGGACAATGTGGTAGTAGATGATAAGAGAATGAAGACTTTGATTCGAGGACAAATCGTTTTAAAGAAAAGGAGATGATATGAATCTAACCATTGATCCTTTGCGTGTACCCACATGTACCCGAAGGAGCGATTACAAGAAGCAGGGTAAGATTCAAGAGGCCTTTTCATTACATCTTTCTAGCCAATGTACAAGTTGAAACAAAGATTTTTTAGTCCAAAAATCTTTATAATATTAGTATATCAAATCAAGAAAATAATGGAGTGTCAATACACACCACTACATTGGAAAGTGATTTGAAGACTTTTTGTTTTTGGTAGTTGAACTACCATTTAAGACTATTTATGTCATGTCTTATTTTCTTCCATTTTTATTTAATAGCTTTTATTGATAGTTGGTTGTTGGTAGATGAACTACCATTATTGTTTGGATTATCTTTTTGGTCTATTTAAAGGCATGTAACATTGATCATGGTAGAATACAAAAACATTGTGTTTTCTTGGAAAACCTTTGGGTGTTTTTTTTTTCAAATCTTGCTCTAGGTTGGAAGTTAAACCGATTCATTAGATTAGTCTTTATGAAGCTAATTCTGGAGTGGGTCGGTTAGGGATCTAAGAGTGACCATCATAGATTCCAAATTCGATCTAAGAGTATTTCATCCTTCTAACCAGCTGTTGGTTGGAATCATTACTTGTAAAAGTTTGCAAAGATCCTAGAAGGACCTCTAGCTTTGCAAATCCAGCATGGTTGGCGCCTATCAAGTTTCATGTCATTGATCTCAGAAAAGATACAAAATGGAATCTGCAAACTTCATGAAGATCTTTTACTCTAGGGAAGATTATTATACTTCCTCACCAAGTAATTTTACTTTATTAGGGCTTCCTATGGTTCATTTGGAATGAGTGGGTACTTGGAAACATCTCAAACAGGAATGGCTTAAGAAAATCACTTAACATTTCCCAAAAAAGAAGGCCAATCCATTTAAAAAAATTCCACTGGCACATGAATGAATTTCTACCACCTGATGACGGCCAAACAACAATTCTCATAAACCATCCTGATGACATACGAAGATGCCCAAACGAAAAGCCCTAGAATCATGGCGACCAAGCTTGAGGAAGAATTTATGGATTGGCTAATACAATAATTAAACTAAGGAAATTTCGAGCCATCCTCAAATGTGATAAAGAAAGCGGAAGGACTTGGTGAAAATCCTCCTCTTCCATCAAAATAAAATCCTCTTCTAGACCAATACAAAAGAACAAATCAAGAACCTTACAACTACGAACCACCACCCTGAAGCAATGGCTAGATCATAGGGAGACAAATTTGGATTAGGCAGGATGGTAGAAGGAGGGAAGGAGAGAAGGGAGAGATGAGAGAGCATTACAAGATTGCTGAAGCTATGTAGATTCCATGCATCAATAATTTTTTTCGATTTTAACAGTGCCAAATTTCAAAAAGAAAAAAAAAAGGAGTAATATTATCATCCAAAATTTTGCATTATTTCAACTTCTACTTCAAAACTACTATTATCCAAAGCCTCTCATGTTATTATAGTCATTATTCTAGTAAAATTTGTTATAGGCATTTTGGGAAGTTTACTATACCAGGTGTGCAGTGCATTGTTAACCTAAACTCCTAAACACTATATGGCCAATTCTTGGGACTAGTTTTAACAAAAAGCTACTCGGGCATGTACATTATCCACGCAGCAGTAAAATTCAAGATTTCTATGATTGTTAGCATTCAAAACATCAGGGAATGAAAGAGAAACCACAAGGTGGTAAAAAAGTACCTGCATTGGGCAGCAATTTTTCCTTTTCCCATTTTCAAATCATTTCTCACGACTAAAACCTGCAGAGATACATGAAGTGTTATTGCATTTTTTGAGTCAGAGAGAGAGAACGCCTTATAATCATCAAAGAGAAACAGAAATAGACAGAGACTCAGAGACAGACCATCTTGAAGTCCTCGAGAATGTCAGCCAAGTTTTCAACCTCCAGTGGCTCTTTAGGCTTACCCTTCTTCCCAGTTCTGCTGGATTCGTTGCTTTTGGCTAATTTGGCTTTGATAAAGATGCGAGGAGGATACTTCGAACCAATACAGTATCCCAAAACAAGGCAGCCGGCCCCTACTACAATGGCACTCAGCCATGTCAGATCCATCCAATTTAGTCTCCAAAATGCACTCCTCCAGTATTGAAGTCTAGCAAGGATAGATAATGCTGGACCAGATACCAAATTCTAATTCAAGCAATAAAAATCCTACATAGTACAGGAAAGCTCAAAATTAAACTCAGAAACAGTAAATACAGGAAGAAAACACCAAACAGAGGAAAGAAAAAAAAATCCAAGACAGAGTGAAGGAAATAGCAGGAATTTTCTCAAATTTAGGATTATGAGTACAGCAAAAAAAAAAAAAAACTACCGATTTTTACTTTATTTTGCTATGCAGATAGCAATAAAAACAATATGAATGTCATTTGGAGATCCAATTTTTCTGGAACACAGATATAGTAATAATGCCAATATCTGATCAACCTAGCAAATAGATCATGAATATACAAATAACTAATTGTAGGGCATTTTCTTACACAGTAAAGGTAAAAACTGCTTCAAAAGTAAGCAATCAGATTCCAAAGTACGCTTCACAAAAAAAAGCTAATTAACAAAGTCAATCCAAGATGCCCTCGCATCAAAACAATCGTACAATGTCGATTTCACAGCAAACATACATACAAACAAACTTAAAACCCTAACATTCAGCTTTAAATTAACCAATCCAGGTCCTCCATCGCATCGCAGATAATGCAGTTCTTGATAGAAACTCGCGAGACGTTTGTCAAAATAACATTCTTTTCAGGAAATGAAGAACAAAACAGGTGAAAAAAAAAAAAAACAGCATTACCAGGCGTTGAATGACGATGAAGCTTTATGATTGCATTTAGCTGACGATCGGCAGCCAGAATCTTAGATCAGACTTCAGCATAAGTCCGCCATCACTGAAGGCTGTGTTCGAGGAGGCGAACCATGCGCTTTCTCAAGTGCTCCTGCTCGAGTTACTTCTCAAAGTGCTGAGGTTATTTTACCCATTCCCAGAAAACTGAGGATTTTATCTTCAAATATTTTTGCATAAATAGCTCTTTTTTTATTTTTTTAGATTTCTGTCTTTTTATGATTATTATTATTATTATTATTTGGAAATTTTCAATTTCCCGACCTAGATTAATAATTTAATTCACTCACTAATTTTAACTTAAATAATCACTCATTTCAATAAAATCTATAAATTAAGTTTAATTAATAAATTGAGTCGTCGAGTAACTTTGTTTTTTATTGCACTATATAACTCGAACCAAATTTTATAACATGTTTTTAGCACTGTAGTCGAGGATTTTAATTTATTACGTTGATAATTCTTTTAGTATTATTGAATGTAGGTTGTGAACGGTAAGCCATTAAGCCACATCATGGAGCAAAGTATAATGCACTTGGAGTAGTCCAGGCACGATCAAATTATCTTTTAGTTGTATTCCTCTTAAATGTGTTTACACGACTCGAGTTTAAGATGCATTCATCTATACAGTTAAATACTGATACATCTTTGTTTATATTTGTAGATGAAAACGTTGAAAGATTATTCTTTAAAACATCACGAGTTACTTCTCTCTTTTTTCAAAATGTTATTTTCTAAGTTTTAAGAAATCTAAAGAAAACGTCCTCCATTTAAGTATAGGGTGCAGAGCTAACACTGCACGATGAAGAAAGATAAGACAGTAGAATATTTGTTTTGTGATGCATTAGTAACCAAGAATGTTCGGGACTCCTACGTTTGTGATTGGATGAATGCACTAAATAGAAGTGAATATGCGTCTATTGAAGGTAGCCCTCGTAGTTAAAGATCACCGAGGTGAGTATGTTAAAATGAAAGTAATTGCATTGTAGAAGGATTTGTAACCTTATATTAAGTTTATATTTAAAAAATTTACTACCTTACACAAATAGCGTTTGTAGTCCAACGGTTAGGATAATTGCCTTCCAAGCAATAGACCCGGGTTCGACTCCCGGCAAACGCATTTTTTTCTTTTTTTAAAAACCATTTTCTTTTAGGGATCCGATTATAAAATAATCCTGACTAATTCAAATTTAATTTAGTTTTCATGTAACTTAAATTTTAGATTTATTAACTTATTTTGTAATAAATATTAATAATAATTGTAAGTAAATAATAAAAAAAATTACGTATCTAGCGTTTGTAGTCCAACGGTTAGGATAATTGCCTTCCAAGCAATAGACCCGAGTTTGACTCCCGACAAACGCATTTTCTCATTTCCTTTTTTCTTTAACCAGTTTTATTTAGGGATTTCTTTTCATTGGGTAGGTCCTCAAATTTCACATTTTGAATTATAAAATAATTTTAAGTAATTAAAATTAAAATTTAATTTTCATGTATCTTAAATTTTAGTTTTTTAATTTATTTTGTAATAAAGTTTAGTATTATTCTTGAATGATTAATTTAAAAATTAGTCCAACCAATAGAATAGTTGCCTTCCAAACAATATTCTAAAGTTTGTCTCTCCCCAAATGCATTTATGTGGGTTTTCATCCCATTATTTTATAAAAATTTGTTGAATGTCGAACTTTTTGAAAATAATGTAGCTCATAGAACTAAAGTGAAGCGTTTGTAGTCCGACGGTTAGGATAATTGCCTTTCAAACAATAGACCCGAGGTTAACTCCCGACAAATGTAAACAAGAAAGAAGAGGGTAAAGAGCTTTTAACAAATGTGGAGCAGTGAATATATTTCAATATTTTCTATAGAGATCTTATTGCCTTCGTAGTTGCAGATAATGTCAATCTATTCATTTAGGTTACCCTATTCTTAACTACTCACATTTGTAATCATCAAAGATTTATATGTAAGCTCACTCTAGGCCCGAGAAACAAAAGATATACAACAAGAAAGAGGAAAATTATTGAATAGAGGAACTTTGGAAGATTTGAATCTACACTGTGTTGATATTAATGATGATTCATTAATGAATCATATCTTTCGACACAAAAAGGTTATGCAAACACACTTAAAATTTCAGACTATTTTTCGAAAAAAATCTTCATAATATATCTAATCCATGCATAATATCATGAAAAATGGATACAAAATTTGGGTTGCTACTTAATATCGAAAATAGGTCAAAAATAAGAATCTAAAAATAAAAAATTTAGATATTTATGACCTATCCTACTCGAACCATGACATAATATATGTTTAGAATAGAATAGATTCTATAGGCACCATCTCATTAAAAATGTTCTATACATCTGCTCTTACTCGAGGCTTTTCAGACTCCGTAACATAATCGAACATTAGATTTTTTAAAAATAACTTGTGGAAAAGCAGAGGCCAACCCTGCATATTTTCCTCCTCTTGTGGTTAGTTCCCAACTTTCACCATTTACTCAAAATATCAAATTCAGCAGATACGTTCCACATTAAGAAGATGATGAAACAGAGCAATATTATTATAACATAATCCTACTAAATTCTTTATAAAGACGAGCATAGCTAAATCATGTCCATCAGTCAAACACGGTCCACAAACATGTAGCTAACAGAAAATAGCTCATAGAACTCACAAACTAACATGGAGAGATATAACTGTCACTACAGATTTACCTTAAATATTACCATATTAAACCAGCGTATGGAGAAAAATTAGGCTGGGATTTTGGGAATCCCTAGTTTCAGAATTACAGTAGGATGAAATATCTGGATAAGAGTTTTTACTCACCTGGTGTGTTGTTGGCTGCTTCGTTGAAGGAAGCAGCGAGATACTCGGCGAGGCTGGGTTGAGAGCCTGACCTGCCAGAAGAAGCATCTGAAACTCTTGCTTTTTTCGTATTGAATTTTGAAATCCAAGATTCTGAAGGGTTGGCAGAACTTCTCAATGGAGCAACTGGCCTCCAAATACCAGGTTGCAGAACCTTCCAGGGATCTTCAAGCATGGATGGATTGTAAAACTGTTCTGGTCTAGATGATTCGTCTGATGAAAAACGACGACCATGAGAACCAAAACCTCGTCCCGAGCCAAATCTTGGACTAGGGGTCATATTGCCACGATGACCATGGCTGCCTCCACCAGGACTAGAACTGCCTTGATATCCAGGACTAGGACTTGGACTGAGGTGATTAACCATGTCATGCGTTTGATTGGGGTAAGAATTACCTCTTGGTCCAGAGACAAAGCTGGGTGAGCTCATATCCCTTGGTAGCTGGCTAGGGAATTGGTTGACAAAAGGGCCTCTGGGGGAGTTCATCCCCCTTGGGGGAGGGCCGGGAAAGTGGTTGACATATGGGCTTCTAGGTCCACCCCACATATTAGGACTTCTTTGATCCATAGGAAAAGGCCTGGGCATTGCTGGGCTACCATGGCCACCAGATCCACTATAACCTCGTGCATAGAATCTCTGGTCAGGTGAATGTTGATGGAATTGATGAGGCGCAGAGGGAGACATTTCAGGGTTTCTCATTCCTACAACACAATATTATATCTAGATTTGGAGGAGAAAAGTGATTCCCTAACTACAAAATGCTGAAAGAACATACTCATGATGAGAAATAAAAGAATTTATAGCTGATCGCCATATGAGATACTTCCCAATTCTACCAGTAACATCACATAAACTTTAATGTAAAATATTAGCAAATACTAATAGGATAGATGTGAAATATTACAAAACTCATGTCTTTTATCATTTAAAAAATACTGCTTTCACGATTGCATGGCATCCAACCATGGGGAGGAATTAGAAAGTTTGAATTGGAAACAAAAATCAAACTACAGAAGTATATTTTACACAAAAGAGTGCTATGTAGCATTTATGTTAAATATATACATTTACCTCCCCCATCAAAAGCTTGCAAAACAAACATACATTTAAATCCGAACCACTAATAGAAGCACATCTAATTGTATATCCTTAATACTCTAGACATTTAACATTCATGCTCATCAAACCAAATAAGAACCATAAAAGGAAGAAAGACTAACTTTTATCATTAATTTTCTCAAAAGTATATGACTAGCTTTTATAATTGATTCTCAATATGTTTCTCTTAGAATCCCTCCCATAGTGGCTCGGATTAAGAAAGCGACAAAAAGTTTTATATGGGAAAGCCTGACATGAATGATGGCAAAGCCACCTTTTCCTAGTTGGAATTTTCTCCAACACGCAGAAAATCTCTCCTTTCCTCTTAAAAAGGTTATGGAGAGTTCCACTGAAACAAATAGCTTGTGGATTTTTTTTCCTTTTTGTGTGAGGAGCCAGGCAAGTAAAGTTATAAATGTCCCGTTTGTTTCATGGATTTTGAAAGAATTTGGTTTTAATCACAGTAGTAGAGAGGATACACAAGCTATTCTTGAGACTCTGGTTTGTTTCTGCACTGCTCCATGATGCAGGCTCTTTGTTCATAACCAGAAGCATTTAATGTTCCTAATAACATCTCCCTACAGCCATCTCTATATTCAGAAGCTCTCAAAAGGTTCAAACTAGAAAGAATCGACAGTTTTTTGTGACCCTAAGTTCATTTTACAACCTCAAGTTGGGAGCACCTTCTACTAGATTTTGTTTATAGATTACATGTCTGTATTGATTTGAAAGCTTCTTTGTAACATTTTTCCATGGAGGGGAACATAATAACCCGGCACATTAGGCCATTTTTGACCCATGTATTCGTAATTGGACCCTTTTATAATGAAGCATCCACCATCAAACAAGTAGCTCGATATCCTATTCCCAATACATGATCCTTTATTTTTTTCCATCCACAAATTATTTAAGAAAACATAAAATTACCTGGAAAATTTGATGGAACATAAACATCCGGAGAACTATTGAGGTGGGAAGGAACATAAGCATCTGGAGAACTATTGAGGTGGGAAGGAACATAATCATGAGACACAGTCTGATTCCCTCTCTTCTTGCTAGAAGAAAATGCAGCCATAGGGTTTGTGTAATAATCAAATCTTGGGGCGGTACATGGTTCTGATTGCCCAAGCATGTTAGCTGAGGACTCAACCAATGGATTGGAAAGATGATTAGGCAGAGAA